GGTAATTATCAAAGGTTTTTTTGTTTTTTTTTCAGAAAAACTTTATTTTATCTGTTATTTTCACTCTTGTATCCCTGTACAGGTTTGGTTGATTTGACCAACCTCATAACCACCATAAAAATTTAAGAAATACATATAAATTATGCTTTGTTCGTTCTAGAATGACTAGAAATTATAACACGAAAACACAAATGTTTAGACTAAATAGCTTAAATCTCATAACATTATACATTTGTATATATTATTTTTATTTTATTGGCCTTTCAGTTGTGTCTAACTAACATTCAGAAGTTGCAATTATGAGGCACATGTTCCATATCCAAGAATATAAAACTTACCTTTATATAGTGGATCAGTATTTTGTAAAAATACAGTGACATTACAGTTACAATACATTATATGTGTATATATACATTATTACTAATTACAGATAAGTTCTTAAATTTCAGTTATTTTTCTTAAAACATAGAACAGTAAATAAAGAAGTATAGAAAACAATTATCTCTTCTAGTTTCAAAATTTTTACTTGTTTGCTGTTTGCCGAAAGTTGCTAAGCCTTATCAAATTTCTCACGTGGAGGATGTAAAACAAAATAATTTTTTTTAGGTTTTATATGTGTATTTTGAAATGAAAAAATTCATAAATTACTACATCAATACCATAGAATTCCACTATAATTTATCAAGCTTAGTAACTAAGCTGTGTTTGCGTCTAAAAAAAATATGATTTTGGAGCTCACTAATGTCTTAACTTAACCACTTGGAATCTAGCATGGAAAGAAAGATTTTCCCTTGCAAATAATTAGTAGAGGCTGAGAAAACCTCTAGGTGGACATTCTGACCTTTTGATTAGGTTATACACATTTCACTGGGCGAAGTAGGTGTACGTAAGCAAGAATTTTCGAAAATGGAAGAGGTGGGCGGTCTACCTTGGTTGATTCAATAAACATATTAATATCTCAGAAAATAAAAACGATATGAGGTTCTAATATTTTAGCTCGTCAATATTGGTTATTTGAGTATCTAATTCATAAGAAACTATAGACTTTGTATTTGGACTTCGAGAGCTAACGAAATTGTAACGTGAGGTTATGGAGTGTAAAAATTTCCTCTTAACGTTTAATGTTTTTATGTACCAAGAATACTAGTAGTGTCATTACTTCTCAAGAAAGTCAAACATTGAGTGTTATGAGTAAAAGACGGAGATCATCATTAATATTACTAGGTTTTGTATATGTATAAAAACCTATGTAGTGAAGTGTTATGGGAAGATTAAAAATTACAGTGTACTATACATGTACATCTTTAAGCTCTAGCCATTCGGTTGTTTTTGTCTTATTTTTTTTGTAGTTGGTAGTATTTTGAAAGATTTCTAGTTTATATAAAAAAATTCTCAACTTTTTAAAGAATACTGAGGACAAGCAGGATTATGACCCTAATTTCTAATAAGCAGATCCTTATCTGAGGCTACAAAGTATTCACTTTGTTAGTAGGGATTTTACTTTAAATCTCACCTCCCCCCCCCCCCCATTTCAGGTTTCTTTTCTTCAGCAAAGTATGAAATTGCACGTAACAGAATGCCCATCAGTAAAAATATGTAACTTTTAAATTAGCTGAAGATGTTTCTTATGTATCGTGCTGAAAAATGTTCCGTTTCAGTTTTTCTTTTTGAACCAATATTTGTTTAAAATAGAAATGTGTTTATACTCACCATTTCCAGTAAGACTTCTAGTACTGATAAGTGGCTTCTCTCAATATCCTGTCATACCAGAAATTCTTTAAAAAATTTAATTTACATGCAAAGCTCTCCACTTATAGAAGTTTTCTATTTTATGTTTTCAGCATGAGAGTTATTTCTCATTATTTTTTTTTTCTTTTGTATTTTTTGCAGACTTCATCCATTAGTAGTATTACAGAGTCAACAATGTCCCTTAATATCATTACAGTAACTCTATATTTAGGTATGTATTACTTATCAAGTATTAGTGAGTTTGTTTGGTTATAAACAGATTTATACATATTGTTAGTCATAACACGTTAAGTAAATAAGTGCCTTTTATGTGATTTGTTTGGGTCTAAACAGATTTACACATATTGTTAGTCATAACACGTTAAGTAAATAAGTGCCTTTTATGTGATTTGTTTGGGTCTAAACAAATTTATACATATTGTTAGTCATAACATATTAAGTAAAAAAGTGCCTTTTATGTAATTTGTTTGGATCTAAACAGATTTATACATATTGTTAATCATAACATATTAAGTAAAAAAGTGCCTTTTATGTAATTTGTTTAGGTCTAAACAGATTTATACATATTGTTAGTCATAACATATTAAGTAAAAAAGTGACTTTTATGTGATTTGTTTGGGTCTAAACAGATTTATACATATTGTTAATTGTAACACATTATATAAGAATATTTAGTGTGGCTACTAAACAAAATATGGATGTTAAGTTACTATGAACTTCACCTGTAGAGAAAATTGTTAGAAATAAAAATATAATAATTTAATATTTTCACAGATTAATATGTAGGTTTTATTTTGTGTCTTAAAATTTATTTTTCTCCTTTTTTTTTCCAGACAGTGTTAACTTCTTAGGAATCAGTATTGTTGGTAATTCTTATAAAGGAAGTGACGGTGGAATTTATGTGGGTTCCATAATGAAAGGGTGAGTGATAGTAACTTTTATCTGTCTATCTTTGACTCTGTCTTTTATTTTATGTAGTATTTGAAGTAGTTTAAATCCACAATAATGGAACAATACCAGATCTATGTGGATACTAGTTTTTGGCAAACTTTCATGTTCTGTTATTGTGGATTTAAAATGGATTTTACTTACCTAGGTTTTATAATGAAGAGTAAGTGTGACTCAATCTTTTATTTTATGTAAATACATAATACCATTTGAAGTAGTTTAAATCCACAATAATGGAACAATACCAGATCTATGTGGATACTAGTTTTTGGCAAACTTTCATGTTCTGTTATTGTGGATTTAAAATGTATTTTACTTACCTAGGTTCTATAATGAAGAGGAAAGTTTGACTAGAACTTTTTTGCTCTATGTATATAATCATATATCATGTAAGGTTTAGTAACTTTTTTCTTCATAAATAGATTGATTTGTCTTTCAAACGAACCCTAAAATTTTTTTTGATCTTTATTTACAAGTTGTCTGATGATATTATCAAATGATCTTCATGGTGTTAGGAGGAAAACTTATAGGTTCAAAAAAAAATCAATTAGAGACAAAAAATATAAAACCTATAATCCGAGCACTTTCAGGAGAAAAAGGGAACGGAGAAACGTCCACCTTTTCCTTAAGTGCTCAGTTTGTAGAGTTTAGTATTTTGGTTATCAAATGACCTTGACATTATTGAGTTATACTTGTTGACAATGGAGGACATTAAATTGTATTAAAAATGAACATATTTGTATCAAATTGACTGCAGTTAGTGATCTTAAATAAAAAATGTGTTAAATGTGACTTTCTAGAAATTTATATAATTTGATGTAATGAAACTGTTATGATTATTTTCTAAAACACTTACTCTGTTTCATTTTGCATCTGTTCTAAAAATCGTTTTTAAGATTTTTAGGGAAAGTTTTAATGGAATTTATGGATGGTAAATATTTTTTTAAGATTTTACTTTCTTAATATTTCAGTATAAACCACGTTTCAGTTTCGAACTAGAACTTAATAAATAGACATTATAAAGAGAAAAAGTAAAAGGATTTTTTTTATTATTTTTTAAGATATACTGGTATTATGCTAGCAAATACCTTTTTCAAATGTACACTTCAAGGAGAAAATCTTGTTGCACTTTTCCAAATAAAAACCTGATATATATATGTACTGTTTAATATTAATGATAATTACAATGGATTTTTAAAATGTTGTGCAGTAAACAAGTCATTATTTATGATGAAAGTTGCCGATTGCACCTTAAATAGTTTTTTAATTCTTAGTAAATAGTAACGATAAATAGATTTGTTTCTGATGAACAGATCCCACCAGTGAAAGACAGCTGAAAATTTTACTTCAAATATTCTTCATGTTGTCTAAAAAGTCATTATCTTATTTTTGATTCATCTGACACTGAAATATAGCCCATCCTGCTATCTTTCCCCCATTTGTTTAACCATATCAGACTTTAAAACACTGGAATAATTCTTTCTACTAAAAAAAACTGTTAAAATAATTAGGCTTAGTATGGTTGTGGTTTTAACAAACATATTTTCGTGTAGCTTAGCTGCTTGTGAAACATTCAAACGTTTTGTACAATACATTTGAAAACAGCTACTTTAAAACCATGCAGACTGATTGTATGGTAGTTATTGTTCATGATTTATTACCAGACAAACTAACTGGCTTTCTAAGTTCAAGTACATGTGTGTGGAACTCTATCTTGAAAATTAACTTTGAAGTTGTTTTAGTTTATTCTATTATTCTCAAAATCTTAAGTTTTGAAGCTGTTTTAAGCTTGAATCTAGGTTTCAAATGGACAGCAACTGCCCGTTGTAGAAACCTACAAATGAAGAGGACGACATTTCGAAAGTCTTTCGTCTTAAGGCGGAAGACTTTCGAAACATTATTTTCTACATTTGTAGGTTTCAACAACAGGCAGTTGCTGTCCATTTGAAACTTAGATTCATTATGAATACTCTGCCTAAACAACCTATCAAAGAATGTTTTAAGCTTATTGTGTTCTTTTACCTCTTCCCAATAGAGGGGCAGTTGCTTTAGATGGAAGAATTGAGCCTGGAGACATGATTCTTCAAGTTAATGATATTAATTTTGAAAACATGGGAAATGAAGCTGCTGTCAAAGTACTTCGAGAAGCAGTTCAGAAACCTGGGTAGGAAATTGTTTGTACATGTGTACAGTATTGAATATTTAGTTTCTCTTTATCATGAAAAATAATATTTTAGCTCCCCCCCCCCCCAATCAAAATGTTAGATCCTTAATACTTCAGTTATCCATCCTCAAATGTTTTACTACAAATATTTGAATAAAACAAAGATACTTCTGATAGTTAGCAGAAACACCGTGTGTAAAGTAAAAAATAAAACGTTTTAATATACAGGTCCAAAATCTTATGGACTTAAAAACTTTTCTTGTACAGGGGGTTGAGTATGTGATATTAAAATGAATTTGAACAGTCAAATCAGCAAGTTGTAACAACCACTGCATGTATAAAATTGTGGTGGAAGATAATGTATCAGAACTACATTTTGACATTGTTTAACATTTTGTAGGTAGTGTTTTTCCATTAAAAATTGATCACTTTTGGGGAAAATATGTAACAGTCCTTTCTGACACAATATATTCATACACTCAGATCATAAAAATGTGTTTTTGGGAATGTAGAATTTCTAAGATGAGAATATACCTTGTACTTAAAGGTATTAGATAACAAAGGATATGGATCATCCTGGGGCATCAGAATCATCCATAAAAAGACCTACAACAAGTCATACCACAGCTGTGGGAAGCAAATGCATCATCTTGTAATAGATGAGAGTCCAGAACACAAAGATCAATGGTGAAAGCCATTCACATGCACCATACACAGTACACAACATAAACAAGAAGGATCTTCATTTGTAAAAGCAACAAAAAATGTTTACCCAATCAGCTTCCACAACATATCTGTTCAAGCATCATATATCTTGAGCAGCTGAAGAATGAGATGGGTATTCATGCTATTCCATACAAAAACATATCGGTCAAGTCATGAGATGCAGTATCTTGGGATTTCTGTGAGATTGGACTGTTGTAACATTTACATGGAAATGGTCATCCTCATACACAATGGATTATGTTAAGCCAACAGGGAGGAGTGATGAGCTTTGCACATGACAGCTTTATTTATAGAGCCTTTTGTAGTTAAAGCTATACTGCAGACTATTGTTAAGGTGCACAGTCACATAGAACGTGACATGGACTGTAATGATATGGTGAGGCTTCAAACTCATTTTAATATAACCTACTCAACCTCTCTACTTAATTGAGATAATAATATTCCAGTAAGCATTAATTACTTAAATTTAGAATTGATTCTTTTAATTTTATTTCTCTCTTACACTGTTTCTTTACACCAAGAATTTCTTAGTGAGCTTACATAGTATATTGCATATATGGTATTATTTTTAATCATTGACAAAAAATAAACAGCATACATTTTTGTATTTTGAAAAGAATATGTCTGATTATTTCCTAAAAATGTACTATTTTCTTAAGGTGATCAACTTGGCTTTATAACTTCATTTTATCATGGGATTGATAGCTAAAATTGTTTTATTTTTCAGGCCAATAAAATTAGTTGTAGCAAAATGCTGGGATCCTAACCCTAAGGGCTACTTCACCATTCCCTGGACAGAGCCGGTTCGGCCAATTGATCCAGGGGCCTGGATTGCACACACAGAGGCAGTTAGAGGTACATATATTGCATATTTATTCATAAAGGAACTTGATAAAACTGAAATATTAGTATTTTCATTTGGGAATCTGAAAGTATTTGTTTTGAATAGTCAAATCTTATCAGTATTTTACTACAGCAGGTGTTCACGATGATAGCATGATTATCATAAATATGCATGGAAGTTTTTTCCTGTTTTGTAAAACTATCACAGACGTGTACACCACTGATTGTTTTTTTTTGGTTTCCCTCCCAGCTGGGGATTATCCATTGCGTCCTCCATCTGTGAGCACCCTAACCTCCACTAGTTCCTCCATCACCAACTCAATCCCTGAATCTGATCGTGAGTTTTTGTTCTTTATTTTTTTACGACCTGTAGATTAGGGTAAGTTTTTATTTGTTGGTTTGACTTATGCATGAAACCTAGGAAGCTGCTTGTTTTAGTGTAATTTTTGAGTTTAGAGCATATAGGTGAAGTCACAGTGCTCTTAAATGAGGTGTATTTTTTAAAGTATATTTAGCTTTTTTTATAAATATTTTTTTTTATTTAAATGTAGTTTTTGAGTTTAGAGTATATATGTGGAGTCGCAGTGCCTTTAAATGAGATTAATTTTTTAAAAGTATATTTACCTTTTTTTTTTTGATAAACAGTTTTTTAAATGGAAACTAAATTTTTATATTTTAGGGAAGTGGTAGCAATAAATTAGCAATAAGTAATCTCTAAAAAGTATCATGAGTTGTAATTATTAGTATGAAATATAGAATCATGAGAATCAGGGCCAGCTTTACTTCTTTTGCTACCCTAACCCTATGGATACTTGGCTTATGTCATTTTGACCGACCTTGTAAACACTATGCAACTATGAAAATATACGTACTATAACTCGAAATGTATTAAGTGTATCTTCACAAAATTTGACAAGCTTATAGTAAACATTAAAAGTCTGTTGTACGCAAAAAATTAGTTTTTTTAGTAAAGTGCTCTTACTGAAGATTTGCCTGTGAATATGTAAAGCCGCTACTAAGTCAGTTTCAATGAAAGATGATTTTCATGTAACGAATAAAAATAGTTATTACAGTTTTCATATTTCACTTGTTTAACCTGTAAAACCTCAAAATGAATATCGAAAGTGTTTTTATTTTGGTAAAACTTAATACCTAATCCCCAACTTTTTCCACCTTAACACTAACTCTAGTGAGTTCATCTACATACAGGAAAATGAATAATTTTAAAATATGAAAAAAAATCAAATATACCTTTTTTTTCTTCTTCTTCTAGAAGGACTACAGTTTGTAAGAGACCATTTCAGTTATTCATCCTCAGAATTTCAGGTTTCTTAACTTGTAATATGTGTTGTTGTTTTTTTAAGCTTTATTACTTTACTTTGAACCATCTTCAATACAGTGAAAACCATTGTATCATCTGGAATGAGCATCAAGAGTTTTAGGGTGAAACAAATTCCAGTTTGCATCACAAATGACATCAAATGCTTACGTTGCATGCTTTTTGTGTGATCATGAGAATTTTTTTTCATTTAAATTTTTTCTAACCTAGTAACTTTTTCATTTTTACATTTTAGTTACTTCTCTTAAAAAAATGTGTAATGATTAATACAAAAAGATACATAAAAAAACGAGAGATTTTTGTACTTACTTTAGCCTCGTAAATGGTGCTTAGTATACCTGCTCTTTTTCTCACTATGTTAGTTGTCCAAAAATAATTAATATAGCTTTGAAATATGAATTTGAAAAAAAAAATGTATTACTCACTATAATTTATCTGTTCGTTACTTCTCAGAGTACGGTCTTCAGTATAAACTCTCGTGGCAAATTGTCAACAAGACTATCATGTAATTTATGTAGTATAGAATTTACTCTTTCTTTTGATGATAAACATCTCCAATAGTAATGTCAGTGAAAATTATAGACATTATTTAAAAAACAGAGGGCTTGTCAGTGGGAGTTGAACAAATGTAGTGACATCTAACTAAAGCAAGAAGAGATTCAAATTTTATTTTCTAACTTGTAAGTATTGATATCATACATTTCTACTTGGTTGAACAATCTAAAGGAAGGGAAGAATTCTAGAAATAAAAATCACAGTGTCACCAAGTCGTGTGAATCTGCAAGATGTAGATTGAGAACTTATTTAAATATTTCCTTTTAGAATTAAGAAATTAAAAATTTGGTAATATCAAGATTTGAATTATAAACTACATTTTGATGCCAAGTTTATTGTCATGCATGGATAATAAAATAGTTTAATTGTATTTTGAAAGTAACTCTAAGAATAAAAAAGGTTGTGACATGTACTTTGATCCACCCGTAGTAATAGAATTAAGTAACTTTGAATCATGACAATCAAGGCCAGCTTTACATATTTTGCAACTGTAAAAAAAAATTTAAAATGCTGTCTTCTCTGATGTGATACAGAGATGCTCTGATTTTTCATTTATAGATTTCTGCTCTTTGCTCACAAAAGGGGCTTCAGATTGTTCAACATATTTAGAAACATATTATACTTATTGACAAACCACAATATATAATTTTAACCTCTTCTTGCTGAGATATCACTATATTTATTCAACACATATTGACATGCCCCTCCCTTATCCTTTGTCTTTAAAGAAATGGCTACAATTCTCTCTGATATTACATTAGAAAGTGTTCATAACCCAATTCTAAACTGCATAAAACATGTGATTGCCTGCTGTTTTTTAGTGGTAAAAGTTGATCATTTGCCGTGAGAGCTTGACATGTTTAGTCTAGGCATTTATGAGAAATTTAATGGAATTTTTTTAAACCTACTAAAAGGTTAGTTAGAAAGCCAGACGAGTAACAGTAGTTGTGAGACGTTCTATTCTAATGTCTGATGTTTTTTAGTGGTAAAAGTTGATCATTTGCCGTGAGAGCTTGACATGTTTAGTCTAGGCATTTATGAGAAATTTAATGGAATTTTTTTTAACCTACTAAAGGGTTAGTTAGAAAGCCAGACGAGTAACTGTAGTTGTGAGACGTTCTATTCTAATGTCTGATGTTTTTT